GTGCCAACAAGACTAGATAATACTTTCAGAAGACAGAAGAAAGGGCTACGTACTACTTACAAAAGACATTTTCTGTTAATAGAAGATCAAAAACGTCTTCCAGATCACTATATTACTGACAGAATCCTAAATACTGCCAGTAGATAAGTATACGGTGTCACCAAGCCTAAACAGTACTTGCAGAAGACCATATGCTGCATGCAGAAGACTAGGTACTGCTAACACATGACTAGATTCTTTTAACAAAGATTTTGCAAAGATTAAAACACATTATGAAATCATATTATTAAATAATATTGTTAAGTGTGTAAATAAATCCTTCCATGTTTTTCCCTTCACCTTGTTGAAAGCATATATTGAAAGCAATTGTTGAAAATTTAATCACGTTTGTCTGATGAAGATAATATAGACCCAGTTAAAATTCCGAAACAAATAGTGACAGAGAAACTTAATGATGACCATCTTTCATCTACGATATGTTAGATATTACTTAGAAGAGACATCTTTTGTTTGCAGAAGATCAGAAACGTTCCAAAAGACCATATATTGGTGGCAGAAGATTAGGCATTGCCAATACTGCACAGTGCCCACACAACTACACAATGACAATAACACTAGATACTACTTGCAGAAGACTATAGTGCAAATAAAGCTAGAGACTGCTTGTAGAAGATATTTTCTGTTAACAAAAGATGAGAAACGTCTTTCATAATATCACGTACTATTGACAGAGTATTAAATACTGCCAATAGGTGTTTAATAGTGCCAACGAGACTAGATTGTACTTGCAGAAGACTGGGTACTGATAATACAGGACTAGATACTTTTGACAAAGGGCTACATACTGCTTGTAAAGGATATCTTCTGTTAATAGAAGATCAAAAACGTCTTCCAGATCACCAGTCTTACAGCTTACCTTCTACCAATATTTGTAAGGAAAACGTCTCTAAACGAAGTTGTAGAATAAGGTTGTCTCCATCCACCCACGCTCAGTTACTGAAACAGCAGTTTGTGTGGCCAATTCTTCGTTTATCCAATTTTCCATGACAAACTTCCCCATAAAAACGCAAAGCAATGGAAGGGTTCTTCCATCAGGGGAACAACAAACCAACGCATAAGTATATTCGCGCCCAGAAGAACTAGTTTTGCGCTGACATCGTACACCAATGGCCCCAACAATTTTGGTTTTAGAAGGGTCATGGAAAATCTCTGTCTGTCCTGGCTTTCCTTCAAGGTTTAAGTCTTTCATGAGGTGTTCCAACTTGTCAAAAAAGTCGTAGATGACCCAAGGATTAACTTGGTCACACCGAACGTATTCGATACTTTGGGGTTTTTTGATAGACAAATGTTGCCTTTTCTTGAAAGAGATGAACCAGTCGGTTCCAGGTCGTTGGACTTTGAATCTTGTTGGCAAATTATTCTGTCTAATGTACATTTGTACTAAATCCAGTACATCTTCTCGCGACAGACCAAATCCATGCTTTTCCATTACTTTGATGCAATTGGCAATTTCTTCTTCTTCGGCAGTTGACAGGTACGAAGTTACACTTCCGCCTCCTCTGCCTTCCTTTGATGTGGAATCCTTTCCCCTCGTTCCTAACACATGATGTTTCAGTGTGCTCCTTGCTATGTTGTAGAACAGTGCTGCACCTCTGGTTGTTTTGTTGCCATTTCTTACATCATCAATCGCACGCTGGAAATCTTCTACCGTGTAAGCGGACCCTGCACCTTTCTCAGTTTTTCGAACGTACGTTCTCACCATGTTGAAACGTTAATGTCTGTAAAAGAAAGAAGAGACATGTTGAAATTTATTTCTAAAAGTGTAAGTAATTACTTCCAAAATTCTGGGTAACTGGAACCCAAGGATCCAGTTACCCCCGAGGAATGATCCAGTTACCCCATTTCCACAAAACATACGGGGTTACTGGGCCACTCACGCTTGAATTACAATACGGAAAAAAATTGTCTGAAACACATGCTAATCACTTGTTTTAAACGTATTTCATTATTACATCTATAAGTTAATTTATCAATACTTACACTGCTCAAATCAGGACCACACAAATGCACTACTGCAGCACGTTGTCAGACCAAAATATATGCATAAAATTCAGAACGCACGCACGTGCATGCCGCATGAAAAAACGAGGTTATATTCGTTGTACCGGCAAGTCGACAGGTTGACACAACGTTGCCAACTGTTTTAATATTCCGTGGTAGCAGGTTAGACAATGACAGGCTCATGGCCCACTTACCTCCTGGGCCCAGTTGCCCCAGCAACAAATATATTACTGGCAGAATCCTAAATACTACCAATAGATAAAATAAAATGAAAAAATTGTATCAACAGTTTTTTAGTTTCCTAGATATCCATGAAATTTACTTTCAAATCAAAAATACTTAGAACATTTTAAAATAACATCACGGCATGTGTCCGAAGTTATTTCACATCTTTTCTATACACAATTGGGCTTGCCGAATCCACGAGTTGGCGGGTTGTCTAGGCAGCAGCATGTGTCCGATTTTGCAATTCTTGCTCAGTATTAGCTTCGGTGGCGTCAAAAATCAAGTGATTTGAGGTCGGGCGATTGCGGTGGTCTAGCCATTGGACCACCATCTTTCAGAAGACACATTATCTAGATGTCGTCGATTATATCGGATATCTAGGAAATAAAAAAGATTTATTAACTACTTTTTTCACCTACTAGTCATAATTTGGCATGAGGAATAAACCTTCAAATTTATTCGTATTGAGAATCACCCTGTATTACTGGCAGAATCCTAAATACTGCCAATAGATGACTATACAGTGAGTGCCAACAAAACTAGATAGTAGTTGCAGAAGATCATATATGAAGGCAGAACACTAGGTAGTACTTACTGCTTGCAAAAGGCATTTGCTGGTAATAAAAGATCAGAAACGTCTTCCTGATTACTATATTACTGATAGACTCCTAAATACTGCCAATATATGATTATACAGCACCAATAAGACAAAATACTACTTGCAGAAGACCATATACTGCAGGCAGAAGACTAGGTAGTGCTAACACAAGACTAGATACTTTTGATAAAGGACTGGATACTGCTTGCAGAAGACATTTTTTGTTAACAAAAGATCAGAAACGTTAATTTATATACTAGACTTGAACAAAATATAAGNTACATCTTCTCGCGACAGACCAAATCCATGCTTTTCCATTACCTTGATGCAATTGGCAATTTCTTCTTCTTCGGCAGTTGACAGGTACGAAGTTACACCTCCGCCTCCTATGCCTTCCTTTGATGTGGAACCCTTTCCCCTCGTTCCTAACACATGATGTTTTAGTGTGCTCCTTGCTATGTTGTAGAACAGTGCTGCACCTCTGGTTGTTTTGTTGCCATTTCTTATATCATCAATCGCACGCTGAAAATCTTCTACCGTGTAAGCGGACCCTGCACCTTTCTCAGTTTTTCGAACGTACGTTCTCACCATGTTGAAACGTTAATGTCTATAAAAGAAAGAAGAAACATGTTGAAATTTATTTCTAAAAGTGTAAGTAATTACTTCCATAATTCGGGTTAACTGGAACCCAACCCAACCCAACCCAACCCAACCCAACTGTTTGAATGTTCCGTGGCAGCAGGTTAGACAATGATAGACTCATGGCCCACTTATCCCCTCGGCCCAGTTGCCCCAGCAACAAATATATTACTGGCAGAATCCTAAATACTACCAATAGATAAAATAAAATGAAAAAATTGTATCAAAAGTTTTTTAGTTTCCTAGATATCTGTGAAATTTACTTTCAAGTTATTTCGAAGTTATTTCGCATCTTTTCTATACACAATTGGGCTTGCCGAATCCACGAGTTGGCAGCAGCATGTGTCCGATTTTGCAATTCTTGCTCAGTATTAGCTTCGGTGGCGTCAAAAATCAAGTGATTTGAGATCGGGCGATTGCGGTGGTCTAGCCATCTTTCAGAAGACACATTATCTAGATGTCGCCGATTATATCGGATATCTAGGAAATAAAAAAGATTTATTAACTACTTTTTTCACCTACTAGTCATAATTTGGCATGAGGAATAAACCTTCAAATTTATTCGTATTGAGAATCACCCTGTATTACTGGCAGAATCCTAAATACTGCCAATAGATGACTATACAGTGAGTGCCAACAAAACTAGATAGTAGTTGCAGAAGATCATATATGAAGGCAGAACACTAGGTAGTACTTACTGCTTGCAAAAGGCATTTGCTGGTAATAAAAGATCAGAAACGTCTTCCTGATTACTATATTACTGATAGACTCCTAAATACTGCCAATATATGATTATACAGCACCAATAAGACAAAATACTACTTGCAGAAGACCATATACTGCAGGCAGAAGACTAGGTAGTGCTAACACAAGACTAGATACTTTTGATAAAGGACTGGATACTGCTTGCAGAAGACATTTTCTGTTAACAAAAGACCAAAAACGTTAATTTATATACTAGACTTGAGCAAAATATAAGCCACAGGGTAGTGTATTGAGACCAGTTCTTTACCTTGCCTACATTTGATGAAAATGCTACTCAGCTATTCAGATGGAAAGCATATTTCAAGAATAAATATGTATTTCAACTCCACGTCAGCCATAAAATATAAAGACTCCCATCAGTCTTCGCTATATTTTAATTAAGCCTTTCATAAAATATACCTATTAAGAGAAAAAATTTAAAATATACCTTGAAAATGATTAAAAAAAACAATTTTTTTGCATCTACCCAACCAAAAATAAATTTAAATCCATCCCTGAACCCACCGTACACTCGCGTTTTAATTTTGTTTATAATTTCTGGCCGCCACATGGCCGCAATGTTTACTCTTCTTCCCGAATTTAAACAACCAGAGAACCAACTCTTTCTCCTCCTCAATCTTCATCGCTACTACTCTCATGCACTTAGATTCACTTCTATACAAATATGTGTACTTTTGTATATTTAGTTATAAATTATTAAAATGTTTTTCAGATGAAGATCGGCCGCCTTTAACGAACACCCAAGATCTCCACAACTTAGCGGTGCAAACTTTAACACAAGGAATGCAACATGCCTCAGCAACATTTTACCCAACCGATTATAACCCTATGTATCATAGCAGAAACGTCAAACACAACTTTAACACGGTTTATAATAAAGAAAAAGGAATTAGGAGTGGAAAAACCATTCGGAATCAACAAAATGGAACGAATTTTAGAAGGGGAGAGGGTGAGTTGGTGATAATAAAATCGTTAAAATTATAACCTAATTTGCGTCAAACAATTTTTATTTTATTTTTAATTTTTTTGTATTACTCGAAGCGGGAGAGATTTAAAGTTTGACGAGACGCAGGTGCGTCGCGACGCCCCCGGTAAGCAAATAAACACTCGCCACGCCTTTTTATCGTTTGTTTATCCAGGACCTGGTTGAGTTACGATCTCGGAAAATGGCCGACGTTCGAGTACATTTAGACGTCTTCATAAAACCACGTGGAGTCCTTTCATCTTTTTCATTTTAAAGATTTTTTTTTAATTTTAACACTTTTTGTATTATTGAAAAAAAATTATTTAAAAAAAATTGATGAAATAAGTCTAAATTCGAATTCTGCATTAAAAATGCTTTCATTTGATACCCAACAACCCATATTTTTAATTATAAATTAATTTGATTTGACATTTAATGTTTCAAAATGGCGGTTTTTATTTTTTCTTTTTTTTATCATTTTTATTATTAATAAAAATGAAATAAATAACTTTAAATTCGTAATCTACGTAAAAAACGCATTAATTTGATACCCAACAACCCATACTTTATGTCAAATCAAATTAAATAACCTCAAAAAATGACATCAATTTGACATTTTTTTCAAAATGGCGAATTTTTATTCTTTAGCTTATTTTTTAAGATAAAATGGTCGTATATGGGCTTAAATAAAACGTTTTTTAATTTTTAATCTCACCAAAACATTTTTAATTAATTTAAAAATATGTAATCATTTTTATTATTAAAAGAAATTAAATAAATAAGGTTAAATTCGTATTCTACGTAAAAAACGCGTTAATTTGATACCCAACAACCCATATTTCATGTCAAATCTAATTAAATAACTTCAAAAATTGACATCAATTTCACAATTTTTTTCAAAATGGCGATTTTTTATTTTTTACCAAATCGTTTTTAGGCCATTTTTTAAGATAAAATGGTCGTGTTTGGGCTTAAATAAAACGATTTTTAATTTTTAATCACACCAAAACATTTTTAATTAATTTAAAAAAATGTAATTATTTTTATTATTAAAAGAAATTAAATAAATAAGTTTAAATTCGTATTCTACGTAAAAAACGCGTTAATTTGATACCCAACAACTCATATTTCATGTCAAATCTAATTAAATAACCTCAAAAATTGACATAAATTTGACAATTTTTTTCAAAATGGCGATTTTTTATTGTGTACCAAATCTTTTTAGGCTATTTTCTAAGATAAAATGGTCGTGTTTGGGCTTAAATAAAACGTTTTTTAAATTTTAATCTCCCCAAAACATTTTTAATTAATTAAAAAAAATGAAATCACTTTTATTATTAAAAAAAATTAAATAAATAAGTTTAAATTCGTATTCTACGTAAAAACGCGTTAATTTGATACCCAACAACCCATATTTCATGTCAAATCTAATTAAACAACCTCAAAAATTGACATCAATTTGACAATTTTTTTCAAAATGGCGATTTTTTATTTTGTACCAAATCTTTTTTAGGCTATTTTTTAAGATAAAATGGTCGTGTTTGGGCTTACATAAAACGTTTTTTAATTTTTAATCACAACAAAACATTTTTAATTAATTAAAAAAATGTAATCATTTTTATTATTAAAAGAAATTAAATAAATAAGTTTAAATTCGTATTCTACGTAAAAAACGCGTTAATTTGATACCCAACAACTCATATTTCATGTCAAATCTAATTAAATAACCTCAAAAATTGACATCAATTTGACAATTTTTTTCAAAATGGCGATTTTTTATTTTTTACCAAATCTTTTTTAGGCTATTTTTTAAGATAAAATGGTCGTGTTTGGGCTTAAATAAAACGTTTTTTAATTTTTAATCACACCAAAACATTTTTAATTAATTTAAAAAAATTTAATCACTTTTATTATTAAAAGAAATTAAATAAATACGTTTAAATTCGTATTATACGTAAAAAGCGCATTAATTTGATACCCAACAACCCATATTTCATGTCAAATCTTATTAAATAACCTCAAAAATTAACATCAATTTGACAATTTTTTTCAATATGGCGATTTTTTATTTTTTACCAAATCTTTTTTAGGCTATTTTTTAAGATAAAATGGTCGTGTTTGGGCTTAAATAAAACGTTTTTTAATTTTTAATCACACCAAAACATTTTTAATTAATTAAAAAAAATTTAATCACTTTTATTATTAAAAGAAATTAAATAAATAAGTTTAAATTCGTATTCTACGTAAAAAACGCGTTAATTTGATACCCAACAACCCATATTTCATGTCAAATCTAATTAAATAACCTCAAAAATTGACATCAATTTGACAATTTTTTTCAAAATGGCGATTTTTTATTTTTTACCAAATCTTTTTTAGGCTATTTTTTAAGATAAAATGGTCGTGTTTGGGCTTAAATAAAACGATTTTTAATTTTTAATCACACCAAAACATTTTTAATTAATTAAAAAAAATTTAATCACTTTTATTATTAAAAGAAATTAAATAAATAAGTTTAAATTCGTATTCTACGTAAAAAACGCGTTAATTTGATACCCAACAACCCATATTTCATGTCAAATCTAATTAAATAACCTCAAAAATTGACATCAATTTGACAATTTTTTTCAAAATGGCGATTTTTTATTTTTTACCAAATCTTTTTTAGGCTATTTTTTAAGATAAAATGGTCGTGTTTGGGCTTAAATAAAACGATTTTTAATTTTTAATCACACCAAAACATTTTTAATTAATTAAAAAAAATTTAATCACTTTTATTATTAAAAGAAATTAAATAAATAAGTTTAAATTCGTATTCCACGTAAAAAACGCGTTAATTTGATACCCAACAACCCATATTTCATGTCAAATCTAATTAAATAACCTCAAAAATTGACATCAATTTGACAATTTTTTTCAAAATGGCGATTTTTTATTTTTTACCAAACCTTTTTTAGGCTATTTTTTAAGATAAAATGGTCGTGTTTGGGCTTAAATAAAACGATTTTTAATTTTTAATCACACCAAAATATTTTTAATTTCGTTTAAAAAAATTTTTTTTATTTTATTTTTTTTATTTTAATTAATCGTAAAATCCCGAAATACCACTTCAAAAGCGTTGATCGTAAAACCCCGATTTTTACCTGTAAACGTTTCAAAATCGCGTCGAACTCAAAAGAGGCGTTTTAATTTAAAAAAAAAGCGCGATCGCGCTTTGAAGTCACAAGTTTACGACTTTAAATGTTTCGATATAGCTTTTTTTTGATTCGTGTATTTTCTTTTTACGATTCGGACTTGAAAGTGAACGAAGATGACGGGGAAAGAATTCATTACGAAATTTATTTAAATTAATTTTTAATTTATTTTTTATTTTTTTCAGATGAAGACGTTCACTCGCAAGTTAATTCCGCCCAACAAGAATTACACAACCTCGTGGTACAAAATCATCCTTCATATCAATCGATGACCATCCCCTCATCTCCTTTGATCCCCCCAATGATGTTGGAGCCGTCGAATTTGGGGCAAATTCAGGGACATCATCATCATCATCACCCCGATTATTACAACTCGATGTACACGCGGACCACTTTGAGGCACAACTATTCGAAAAATTCCGTTTACGCCGGAAGTTACCACGAGTTTTATTCAGCAGCGACCGGAAATAACGCCCGTAGCGCCGCGAGTTTGTACGCGAATTCGCAAAATTACGAACACACCCCAAGGTAATTAATTTTTAAATTTTTTCGAATTAATTTATAAAACGATAGGGTTTTAAGAAAATATATTTTAATATTTACAAGAAAATTATTTATTTCAGTTATTTTCCTTATTTTGACATTTCCCCGAGTATATAAAATTAAATAGAGGAGGCTTTGATCAATAAAAACAAAGCCCCGCATTGTATTGACACGACATAAAAAGATCTTGTGAGTTGAGTGTGTTTAGAAGAGAGTTTAAGTTTGGAAACGTTGAGTTAGTTTTCGAGAGGGGCCATCAATTTTAAACGGTAGCCCCAGCGGCGTCAAAACGTCTCACGGACGGTTTTACATCGTCCTCTCGCTAATTAATCATTAGCCGAAACACGTTAGAGAGACATTTTTTTCGTTTTACTCGCCCCCCACCTTTCTTTGTTATTATTATTACAAAGTCAAAAAATAATCGTTAATTTTTTACTTTTCTTAATCAAAAATGAAAAGAAATTGAAGAATCTTTTAATTTGATACCCCACAACTCATATTTTAAATCAAAATTAAAAAAGAAACGTCAAATGATTTCATTTGTTTTTTTAAATCGCAATCTTGTTTGTTTAACTCTGAATTTTTGCCAATTTTCTTCTTAAATAATCCATTTCGCTAAATTCTCTTTAATTTGATACCCAATAACCCCTATTTTGTGTTTGGGATTCATGTTGCAACTTTTAAATTTAAAATTTAAACTATACAAAGGGTGACATAGAAAAAAGTACATTGCATAGTGCCACACAATAGAGGACACTAAAATAAGAAAAAAAGTTCCTATGAACATGGGTCCGGGTGTTGAATTTTATTTTTTTTTTATTTATTTGCAAAAACAATGATAAATACTTCAACAATTAAATTTTAATGGTATGATGAAAAATATGATTAATTAAAACAAAACATTAAGTGTTTAGAAGATGTTCAAATTGTTGCCCTTGTACTTCAATACATTTTTCCATTCTTCTTCTTAATGATTGACGGCATCTTTGAAATATTCCTGGGTTATTACGAAATCTATCCGCCGATTCCATAATTCTTATCCATAATTGTTCTTCATTATGTATTTCTACAGCATAAATTTCATTTTTCATAAATCCCCAAAATGAAAAATCGATTGGATTAAGGTCGGGACTACGAGTTGGCCAGGGTACAGGCCCCCTCGACCAATCCACGTATTTCCAAATCTCCTGTCCAAATATTCCCTTGCCACTCGAGAAAAGTGAGCTGGCGCCCCATCATGCATGTAATACATTCTTCCAATAATGGCCAATGGGACATCCTCTAATAATGTGTTAAATTATTCTCCAAGAAATTTCGATACAGTGCACCTGTCAATCGATTGGGCAATCGAAATGGGCCAATTAAGTAATTGTCAATTATACCTGCCACATATTTCTACACATTAATAGAAACCCCATATTGGTAACTTCGAATTACAGTTTGATGAGGATTTTCATCACTCCAATGGTGCATGTTACTAAAATCAGCTTCGTCAGTAAACAAAATTGATGAAATAATGTTTTGTCTTTGGTTTTGCAACCATTCGCAAAATTGTACACGAGGAAAAAAGTCATGTTCCAATAGTGAATGAATTTTTTGGAAATGATATGGGCGAAGAAGTTGTTTATTGAAAATTTGTCTACCTGATTTCTGGTGCTTGTTCTCGGATTATTTTCTACCATTCGTAAAACAGTTTCTTTGTTTCGCACAATGCGACGAGTTCTGGAAACCCCACTATTCAATTTTGGTTTTCTAAAACAGCCATCTTCTCCCAATCGCACATCAATAAATGTTCGAACATTAGGAACTTGTCTTAAAGGATATCTTTCTCGATAGATACGTTGAGCTTCGTAAGAATTTGATCTAGCTTCGCCGTAACACATCTGTATTCTTCAAATGTGTAGCGAACCATTTCTGAAAGCAATTTTGAATAATCAGTGAGAAAACCAATGACAAACTTAATCACGAACACAAAATACCTCAAACAATTATTACATTAGTTTGACAAGTGTCATTATGACACATTATTCAATTGTTATTTATCATTGTTTTTGCAAAGGTTACTTTGGCGCTTTTTGAATAATTTTTAAATTTTCGAGAAAAATTAATTTAAAGTTTTATTACTTCTTATTCGTTTGATATAGACAATAGCAGTAGCAGTGCGTAACCATGGCAACCAATTGTTTTGATTTGACATTTTCAAGTGTCAAAATTCAATTTTGAATTTAAGACAACAAATTTAAATCTTTAGACCCGTTTTAGCGATTTTTTCATAAATTGTTTATAATAATTTTATCGAATTTATCCGTTACTTTTGAAACGCACTGTATATAAAACACCTCTTCTCAGTAGTAAATTGTTTTATTTTTTATACAATTAAAAGATAGCACTGTTTCTTTTGTATTGTTGCTCGTTTCAATAAATTAAGTTTGTTCTGATTAGGTTAAAAATGCGTTACGTAATGAAACCAGTGCTGTAATGAACTTCATTACGTAACTCAAATCACCTCAAATGAGTGCGGTAATGATGACTTATCCAAGCAATCGTAGATAATAGTATATTATTCAACAAGCGTATAATGGCGGCTGTTACCAACGAAGATGAAACATCCATTATACGCAAGTTGAATACTATACTTTATCTACAACATTAAATTTTGAAAAAAAAATCAAAAAAAGGAAAAAAATAAACTTGATAGACATTTCAGACATAACCTCAATATAAGAAAGCTGTCATTTCTGTTAATATTTTATTTTTTGATTAGTAGGCCGTGTCAGAACTGTGGAATAATGGCTTCATTATTCAACACTTTGTCAGTCATGGGTAATGCATGTCATTACCCGTCAAAAATCAAATGAATAACGAATAGATAATTCAATAGTTGTAGATAATAGTATATTATTATATGAGCATATAATGAGGGCTATTATTCACGAAGGTTAAGTTTATGTCACGAGCGTAGCGAGTGGCATAATTAGCCTGAGTGAATAATAGCTCATTATATGAGAGTAGAATAGTATACTTTGTCCACGACTATTGAAATTGATTCCATAAATTTATTTTTTAAATAAATTTTTGAATAAAGGTTAAACGTCAATGTGACACAAATTCAATGTTACTAACTGTAACCAACTTCACAACAATTTGTCAAAATTAAATGTCAGTTTTATAAAACGTCGTTTTCTTTAGGAAAATTAATTAATTTATGCTTAAATTATACGAAATAAGGAATTTGTTTAGGTTTTTTTAATGTAAAACATTTAGAAACTCCTAAAAAATTGAATTAAATTGACGTTTTTTGAACTTTTAACGTTTCAAATAATTATTATTAGTCTGGACAAGATGGCTACCCGTGGATAATGATTATTATTCACCGCTATTATTCACTCCGTGAAAAATAACTACCATTTTGTTTTAGAAAACTCATTCATAAGGTATATATTATAAGGTAGTCGTGGACAAAATATTTTATCTATACAATTTTATTTATATACTGTGTTTTTAACTTTAATTGTTCACAATAACATACATCATATTGATATATTTCATAATTTTTGTTTTAATGACGTCGTGGGTTTCTTTTTAACTATTTGACGGTAAGTTTGTGATTGTAATACTTTTATTATGTTTTTCATTATATTTAATTGATCGTAATGTAATTACTTTTACGTAGATTCGGCTGATGATGGGCTAAGCTCGAAACCGGTTCCGAATAAATTGATATTAAGCAAGTAAGAGGTTTTTTATATAGTTTAAATTTTTCCCCTATTTTAATTCAAAAATAACTAATACTAAAGTAAAAATACTAAATAAATTTCACATTACACAACTAAAAGGACCTCGTCACTTACAAAATAATAAACATAAGTCAAATTGAAGGGTAACATTTAACGTATTTTTAATTCAAGTAGATGCCTTGTGGTAGTTTTCTTTTAAGTCGACAGTGGATGTTCTTTTTGCTGAGATCGTATGGCTGTTGTATTATATGCGTTCGTGAAACCGGGAAGTTATTGTAGATATAAAGGCTACGATACTGTCAATTTTTAATTCGTTGTGTAGTTGATCATAATAATAATAAATCTTTATTGGCAATTCTACAAACAATACAGAATTGTATAAATAAAATAATAATAATGCCAAAACAAACATTAATGCTAAGAATTGCCAAAAAGAGGCGGCCAGTATGTACCCACGTCGTTTTTCATCGCCCCTCAAAACAAGAAAAGTAGAAAGTAAAATATATAATATACAGGATGTCTGATAAAAAACGCCCCAAGTTGTAACTCTGTCATTTACATTCCGATTTTCACGAACGAGGTATCAAATGAAAAGGTACACAAACTACTAAATCACAAAAAACAAGATGTTGTGCTTATTTTGAAATGGGACAATGACGGTGCAGGAAGCCAAAGTGAGTATAAGCAAAAAATAGAAGTTGGTAAAACGGATGCTTGCATTTTTGACTTCACTAGTCCCAATTAAACTAATAGCAAGTGATAGTTCTATGCTTTGGCAAAATCCACGAACGTCTTCGACCAGATTCTGTAGACCTATACCAATTTCAATTGGTACATGAATCCACAGAGGTCATTCGTATGGAAAAAATACGAGTGGATTCCTAAATATCTAAATTATCACCTTCAAAGGTAACTCTAAATGGCGTTGAAGTAAAGATTACACACAAACTTTTGTTTACCATGTGGACGCTAAAATTTGCAACGCAATCACAGGTACAACATAAACACAAAAGTGTTATTTATGTGGCTTGAGTTCAAAAGATTTTAACAACATAGAAAAGGTCGTCATATTCTAGACGAACATCGATACAAACCAAGACATTTTAAACTTATTAATAATTTCTTCGGATCCTATCATATCCAATTACAGGCGATTACCTCGCAAAAAACTAAATTAGTTTAGAGCTAAAGCTATTGAAATGTTCTTGTGTGAGCACAACATTAATGAAAGTTCCTCTGATGAGTCCAGTGACTCATCCTCTATCAACAGTTAATTGTCTATTTGTTTATTTATTTATTGTTTGGCACCGAGTGAG